CCTGTATCCGTTTAACCTTGATATATAAGATAAAATAATGACTGCCGCTTATTCTATGTATAAATAAGGTCCCACCCAGGTCGTTTATTAAACGTATTAAATTTTCTGAATATCATCTAATTAGTTGCTGAGAATGACATTTTGTTTAGGATGACTGATGACTGATGAAAACTGCGGACGAAGGATGAAGGATCAAAGATAAAGGATGAATGATATGAAACAATTTAGTTTCAAAGAAATTTTAATATTAAGATTATAGTAATTATCAACATAGCTGTAAATTTAATTAACTTCAATTTTCCACCCTAACTTACAGAATAGGCCTATTTCACCGAAAGCAAAACTATTGTCCCATTTATAATCCATCCTGTCAAAAACTAATGGAATTTTTGCCAGACTTGGTTTAAAAGTAGACACAATACACTCGTTCCAACCTATTAGAAGTAATTTTAGACATAAACTTAATATATTTAGACAAATTATGATTAAGTTGTTAGATTCCTGATAACCCTATTGATGTATTAATGTACAATGTACAGTTTATGTGTAGTAGAAAAATGTTGAAGAACCATGTATTGTGATAATTTATATTCTGAATAAACGAATTTGACGGAATAATTGTGCTGTAAAAGTATCTAAAAGCGGCGCCTTTCACGAATAAAAACTTGACGAGTAAAAACATTTTTGACCCATGGGTGAGATGACTTTAACAAGGTTGGCTTTTCTTCAAAATTTTCAACAAATTTTCAACAATTTAAATTGTTTATTAACTATATCTCTTGTTTAAAAAAAATACCTTAAAAAACTATTTAACCCTGAAAGGATTAGCTTAACAAAAGCTGGAATAAAGTTTTTGCTTTAAATACTACTAAACCCTGTATATATATTGTAATCATTATTTTACTATTATTCCCTCGTTTATTGGACCAACACAGCTAAAGGGACAAAGGGTAGGTACAGAAGAAAAAGAGATAGAATTGAAAAATTAAAATCTATTAAATTAACATATTAAAATAAAAAATTGTAAATAACATTTTCTAGAATAAACCTGAAATAAATTTTGGCACAGTATTGTTTTTTTTTTGGTTAGTTTGTGTTGATTTAAAATCCTGGTTTAGTAATAAATCTTAAATCGAAAATGTTCAAGAATTCATTTAAAAATGTCCCCGACGGCTGCGCTCTGTGCGGCAGGAATATTTTTTGTTTAATTCTAAATATTTGAAGGACAACATTCTTGAGGGAAACTGAACCAGAATTAATCCAATAATGAATAGAAGGAGGAGGTGGAGGAGGGAGGAGGAGGTGAAATCAAATTCTCAAAATGTTTAAGGATCGTTTTGGGAACAAACAATTTTGATTTAGGGTTTCCAACAAAGCAATTGAGTCTTTGCCACAAACTCCAATTTTCTAATTCTTTTATCTTTGCAACCTAATGTTGTAGACCTAAGATATTTCAAACTATAATTTCTGTCGGATCAAATAGTCTAAGTTTTAAATATCAAAGGGCCAACTCCTTTCGCACAAAAGTTCTCTTTTTTAGATTTTTTTGGTTTTTTTTAGTTTACAATATATATATAGATATATACTAAATTTACTAATTGTGTGACATATTTATAATTTTGGCTAACTTTTCTTGGTTCATTGAAACCTTGAGTGACAAATTTTGCCAAGATTCTAATCGAGCAATTTTTTTCTCGTTTTTTTTAAAGCAAAAATTGATTTTAAAGTTTTTTATTTTTTCTTAAAGATTGAAATGTTAGAAACAAAATAAATGTCGAAATGCCAGGTGGTGATTGTCAATATGTTATTTTTATTAGCATTATTTATTATTTAGAATCCATGTCATATATTTTTTTTCTTTAAACAGTTGTTGCAGTACTTCACCATACACCTTCTGCATATGTTCGATTCGATTCGATCCGAATCGATTCGATTCAATTCGATTATCATTTTGCCAATAATTCCTTAAACTGAAGCAAGAAGCAAGCGTGCTGAAGTTATAAAATGTACATATCTAGGGCTACTAAAACCTTAAAGTGGATTGGTAAGATAAAACCAAAGGCCAAGGCGTTGCAAACCCTTCAAAGTTGACCCGGCCTTGAACATTGATGCACAATTTTCAAAGATACATGAATCTCTGTTGACGAATAGTTTACACGACTGTCCATATATAGAGTGTCATGTTTAATTCACAACGAGTCTCTTTTAAGGGTATGTAAATCTATCTTAAATGTGATCAATTCTGAAAATTTCCATCCAGAATCTATATTGCATAAATCCGTAATTAAAGAGAAATCACAATTGAAAATATAGTAAATTTAAAGATATAAAAACAAACCTTACAAGATTTGTAATCTAATTGAAATCACGTTTTCAGTCTCTCAAAATTATAATCTTTTTTAATTTAATTTGTTGCACTTTAAAACAAACAGATTTTTTTGTTTTCGGAGGGGGGGGATTTATCCTTATTTTTTGAACTTGTAAGTTTTTTACTTTAAGGGGTCCATACAAATCCTTTGTATATTTTAAGTCAGGCATACAAGTTGTTTTTATAACAGAAAATATTTACTCTTATGATGGATATGAGCCTGAACGAGACAAACACCGATCGTTTGTTAGAAAATGATTTTATGTTTATGGAAAACTAAAATTTTTTTTTTTTAAATATTATATAGAATGATTTGGGTTAAAGGTAAAATATTGGAATTTAAAAAAATGAAAAATGAAAAATATTGATTTTTTATTGTGTTACCCTTTATTTAGTATACTATAGGTGTCGAATTACACTGCAAGAAATTACAGGCCTTAGTTCCAAGAATCTAATGCATAACACAGATCTAACAGAGTTCAAGTGATTGGTAGTTTCAGGACATTTCAACATAAATATATTCCGTACGCAATTTCAAATTTTGTAGAATTGAAAATGTTTCGAAAATTGTAATGCTAAGAAAGTGAGTAGTTTTTTTAGTCAAGCTCAGCTTTCGCGGATTTGTCTTTTTGATTGGTGGATTTTATTTTTTATCTTAATAAAATTATTTGAGGCAATATAATTAATGCAACCCACAAATAAGCAGTCAAGCCTAATATGTATAGATAAAGTAGATTTAAATGTTTTCAACAAAACAGTTCTGCGAGAGAAATTTCATGTTTTTTGTAGTTTTTTGTAGTTGCATATGTTGATATAAAGTGAACAAAAAGGGGAATCTTTACGAGAAAACACAGTTATTTGGAGGAAAAAAACTTTTGGAGAAACCAAAATTATTTACTAATTTAAGGGGGTTACTATTATTTTGTGATTTATTATTTAAAGTAACCCGTTTTTTTAAAGAAAAACTTTTTTCTTTAATTTAGCAACAGTCTCCCCTTTTCCTTTATCAATCCTGTCTTGGGCTCCCCTTTTCCAAGTTCTTGTTCTGCTTTAAATGTATGTCACTGTTTTCTTAAATGTAAACAAACAACTGATTGAATCGACAGATTTGAGAAAAATTTGTGTCTGTCCGCGTTTATATTAAAATCTAATTTTTAATAATTTTTTTACACTTATGTTTTTCCTCAATTTAACAGGCTTGATTTTTTTTATTATTTGTTAAAATTTGTCTTAATATATGTTATAAGTTACAACGCGCGCACCCTCTGTAGAGTACTTAACAGATCAATTTGCGTTCAGTTTCTTCTATTTTGATTCAACAATCTTTAAATAATATTAGATAATAGAAGCTTGTTTCTATCTTTGATTTTACAGATTATTTATTAAAATTCATTTTTTTCATCAAATTGTGCCAATATATAGGTTTCAATGAACGTCAATAAGAACCGAATTTATTGTTCTGAAACAAAATTGACTCTCTTGTCCTGTCTCTGTAATTTGTGAGCTAAACCGTATTCATGAATATTAAAATTTGAGCAATGAAACCAATTTTGCCAAATTAATGATATTTTTTTTTTGGAAAAATAGATTGTTAACCTGATCCTGTATTAATTTTTAACTAAAGTGTGCCACAGATGATTCACAACTAGCTGCAGTATCTAGGAAAATTCTCATTACTCAGTACAAAGTATAAATACTGTAGTCCCTTTCTTTGCAACCTGATGGTGTAAACCTTTGATTTTCTCAAATTTTGACCATTTAAGTTACCAGAATTCATAGTTTGAAATATACAAGGTCTAGAACACCAAGTTTTCTAAGATTCAGAGGTTAAAAATTAGACTTTGCTGCGAGTAATCAGTTCCGTTATATTTCAATATCTCAAGTATGCATCTTGTGACATCAAAACTATCCCAAAAAACTCTTTGCTATAGGATTCCACACGGTTTTTTATGAGAAAAACTTAAGATTATTAATTTTTTGGAAAAAAATAACAACGTTGCACTACAAACTTTGCTTCTTTTCGTATCCTTTTAATATCCCTTTAACTAAGGGTATTAAAGACATATTTATTGAATAGTGTATTTACAGAATATATATATATTTATAAATTAGAAAGCTCTAACTTATAATTGAGTTTTGGAAATAAAGAGGGACAGCCAGTGTAGTATTAGTGAGCCGTCAACACTTTTACACTTTCTTTAAACATTTTTACACTTTCTTTTACAGTTTTACACTTTCTTTTAGCAGTTTTACACTTTCTTTTAGCATTTTTACACTTTCTTTGAACAGTTTTACACTTTCTTTGAACAGTTTTACACTTTCTTTTACAGTTTTACACTTTATTTTAACAGCTTTATATTTTCTTTTAACAGTTTTCTACTATCATTTAAAAGTTTTACACTTTCTTTTTAACAGTTTAACACTTTCTTTTAACAGTTTTACACTATCATTTAATAGTTTTAAACACATTCTTTTAATAGTTTTAAACTATCATTTAACAGTTTTGTACTTTCTTTTAACAGTTTTACACTTTCTTTTAACAGTTTTACACGTTCTTTTAACAGTTTTACACTTTCTTTTAACAGCTCTGCACGTTCTTTGAACATCCTTATAGTGTATCTTGCATGATAATCATAATCATTTTTTTCAGATGTTACGATGACTGGAAGAAATGTGTTTACAGTGAAGTTTATCGTTTTTCTTTTTCTATTTTTTTCTATTGTTTTGTACATTGTTCACAGTTTCTACGTTGATCCACTTGTCTACACGCAGATCCATAAGTATCTACCAGGACAAAGCAGCCCAGAGTACAGGGTTGTACCGGCCGGACTGGACGGTAACAGTGTACAGGTTGTACCGGCCGGTTTGAACGTGCACGATGGGGAGGAGTGCTATCAAACCTTTCTAGAGAAATCCAAAGAAAAGAATCTTCCAGTTGGGAGGTAAATTACAAACAGAGGTGGTTGGTCTTAGGGCATTGGTATTTATTTCACTAATTACTTTCCTATATATATAAGTTTCCTATATATAAGTTTAAAACAGAAATTTTTTCGAGGGGCAAGAAACTTAACATTTTTTAAATGACCTCACTATTGTTGAAAAATAAGAATTTTACGTGAAAAATAGCTGTAAAATTCGACAATCATTCAATATTTAATAATTAAAAAAAAACTAATTCTGAAAGCGTATCCACCCCCAAATCAGGAGTTTTGAACGTCGAATTTGCGCTCAAACTCAGGATTTACAGTATGTCTCAAATGAATCCTAAAGAAGTTTTCCACAACACTGCGACCTCAGTTCAACTACCTTACATACAAATAAAGAGGAAGTTGAGAACTTTTTTCTAAAGATATTTCATTAAAATTATATGTATGTTTTCTATTGAAAAGAAATCCTTATCTATACTAGTTTCAGTACATTTATTAGCACTTTGTTTATTGTCTCAATGCTTCTTCTTTTTTTCTATTTCTTAGCCGTGTCAACTCAAAAATGAGATTATAGCGGACAAACACATCAGCTGCAGACAACTTTTTATGTAATTAAAAACGTTTATTATTTCCTTAGTTTTATTATTCTATGGATAATAGATATCAGTCATTTCATTAAAACACTTTAAATGACAAATTTGAATTAAAACTTTTAATTTTTCAACATTTTTTGCAGTAAGCAATACTTGACTTTTTTCCCTCAGAACTGATGGTACTTTTTTTCCAAACACTAGCTTCTTATGTTGATTTAAATAGATAGTATCGTTTGAACTGTCCGTTTTTATTTTCTTCATAGAAAAGCGCCCAACGGAGTTTGTTGCGTTTTCACTTAATACAAATATTGCAATAAAAAAAAATTAATATCGTCCATACGGTTGCGAATTGACGATTAAATATCGGAGAAATAACGTCATACCCCATAAAAAAAATTTAAAATGTCATGTTAAACGTCATTATCTAAATGCTTAATTCAAATCTGAAAAGCGCTTTAAAAATGAAAATTGAATGATTTAGAGCTAGAAAACTCACCAAAAAAAAAACATTAAAAAGTTGAAAAACTGATTTTGGACCTTAATTTGGCTATAACTTCTTTAATTCTTTATATTTTTAAAAGCGTTTTTCAGATTTGAATCCAGCATAAAATTTGATTATGTAAAACACGAAATTTTCAAACATATTTTTGGGCCTTAAGGTGATCTCTCCTAAATTAAATCGTCGATTCGCAACCTTATTGAGGATTTTTTTACTTGCAATTTTATTTTAGTGAAAACGCAGCAACCCCCTGTTGGCGGTTGGCTTAATTCCAATATTGATCACTCTTAATGATGCTATACTACATACTCTGCATGTAACTGAATTTAATATATGTATAGTATACCCTGGTTGGATGATGCTACTGTACAGTTGTTGTGTACATTACTACATAAGGACCTGTCTGTACTTGAGTGGGGTTGTGGAGGTTCAACGGTATACTTCTCCAGGTTCAGTATCCAATATTCTCCAGGTTCAGTATCCAATATTCTCCAGGTTCAGTATCCAATATTCTCCAGGTTCAGTATCCAATATTCTCCAGGTTTAGTATCCAATATTCTCCAGGTTCAGTATCAAATATTATCCAGATTCAGTATCCAATATTCTCCAGGTTCAGTATCCAATATTCTCCAGGTTCAGTATCCAATATTCTACAGGTTCAGAATCCAATATTCTCAAAGTTCAGTATCCAGTATTCTCCAGGTTCAGTATCCAATATTCTCCAAGTATAAAGAATAACTTGGTCTAATATTCATCAAGTATAAAGAATAACTTGGTCCCATATTCTCCAAGTATAAACTTGGTCCCATATTCTCCAAGTATAAAGAATAACTTGGATCCATATTCTCCAAGTATAAAGAATAACTTGGTCCCATATTCTCCAAGTATAAAGAATAACTTGGTCCCATATTCTCCAAGTATAAAGAATAACTTGGATCCATATTCTCCAAGTATAAAGAATAACTTGGTCTCATATTCAACAAGTATAAAGAATAACTTGGTCCCATATTCTCCAAGTATAAAGAATAACTTGGTCTCATATTCATCAAGTATAAAGAATAACTTAGTCCCATATTCTCCAAGTATAAAGAATAACTTGGTCCAATATTCATCAAGTATTAGGAATAACTTGGTCCCATATTCTCCAAGTATAAAGAATAACTTGGTCCCATATTCTCCATGTATAAAGAATAACTTGGATCCATGTTCTCCATGTATAAAGAATAACTTGGTCCCATATTCTCCAAGTATAAAGAATAACTTGGATCAATATTCTCCATGTATAAAGAATAACTTGGATCCATATTCTCCTTTTATAAAGAATGACTTTGTCCTAATATTATCCAGATATAAGGAATAACAAGGTCTTTATATAATTTTCATCAATTATATGTGTAATAATTGTAGCCATGTCTCAAACTGTGTTTTTCAGTACCTAACTTTATTTTATTTTGTCCTTTCCCTGTAAACAGGAGTTGCGTTTGAAAATATTACAGATTTTTATCCTAAATCTATATTTATCCTTATATATGTGTAAATTGTGACTTGATGTCGTTCAAATTAGATATTTTATACTATAAAAGCTATCTAAAAAAGTTAAATAAGTTTAAATATCAAAGATTTACTTCCTCAGGTTGCAACGATATTGGGATTAGAAAAAAAGTTACATTTTTTTATTCTAAATGATAATCATTTTTTGATGTCGGGCGTCCATATAATTCCATTTCTGATCTCAACTGGGACCGGGTTCAAGGTACAGGCAGGGGCATAAAAATTAAATTTCTTTGTCATTGAGAACTTTGGCAAGTTTTTTTGTGTACGCGTTAAAAGGTGTAAATATTAGTAATCAATTTAAGAGATACATTATGATGTAAAAAATAAACACTCCCTTACCACGTTTAACTAAAGTAAAATGCACGAAAGATTGAAATCTGATTTGTTTTTAATCATAATTCATTTTAATTGAAATAAGAACACATTTTGAATTTCTAATAT